GCACGAAGTTATCGGGCCTCGGGCTCTCCTCTCTCTCTCTCTCGTCACGTCCGGTGGTCGCGAGTCGTGTTTTATCCGCTGCGCATGCGCCTCCGCACACCGGGAACAGGTGTGGGGGGGGGGCACGTGATTCACCGACGTAAGGAAAAACGTAAACGACACTCGTGAGGAAATCTGACCACTACAAAAAAGAAATATGTAAATCGCGAATAAATAAATAAATAAATAGATATATTTGTGACACATATCAATCACGCGCATATATGTGCATGTATATATACATATATATAAGAGAAAAAAAATTCATGGAACCAAAGTATATGTTTAATTCACAGAATAATTATTTTCGGAATTGTCGAAACATTTCTTCGATACCGGTTCAAAGAAATATTCCTCCGGTTCGATGAGACTTCCGTTTGAGGGTAAGCGGAGCAACTTTCCCGTCGTGCTTCCGGTCGCGTGTCCGGGGCTCGAGATTAGCATATCGCCCGGCGATTTCTTCACCCAAGCGGGACCAACATTTCGGCCCTCTAGGCGGCCAGCTAAAAATCTAATAACACCTAAACGCAGCTGGTCGTCGCGTGTCACGACCTCGGCGAGCTCGATGCGTCGGCAGGCACGCTCGGCTTTTCCCGAGCACGCGTGAGCCACGCGCCCGTCGAGGGTTCCTCGGCGGAGAGAGAGAGAGAGAGTAGGCACGATAGGGGAAGCGGCGAGACAGAGAGAGAGGGGGAAGAGGGGCCAGCTGTTGCAGCGAGACTACGCTAGATCAATACTATAATGTCGGAAGGGGTAGGGAGGGGGCGGACAGTCGATATACCCGCGACGGGAAACTGCACCGTACAGTCTGGAGAGGAAGTGTAACATTTTTGAGAAGCTCGACCCTGAAGCCATAAATCCATAAATTACAAAATTTTTCTTGAACCTATGCAGTACACATTTTTTTTTATTTTTTTTTTTTTTCATAAGACTTAAGATGTCTAACCGAAGAATTAGAGTTTCCTCGCGTCGAGACCCGCCTCAAATCTGCACCTCTGTGATTTAATCCAATTTCCGCCGATTTCCGCTATTCACGGTTCAACAGGTCAGCATCCGGACTCACGATATTATCGATAACGACTCGAGTTGACATAGAAACTTCTATACAAAGATTCCTTTATTTTCTGTCAGTCGTGCATAGCATCATCGAGATATCGACGAGACGAGATTCCCATGGCCTTGAGTGAGCCTGAAATGAAAGGAACCGACAAGGGGTGTTCGCCGCATAATAAGCGAAAAAATGGGAACCTCTCCTTCGACCTTGAGATACTAAATTTCCCAATACTCCGTATGACAAAAATCGCATCGATTCGTCAATCGCGCCGATTACGACGAATTTCCAGAGAACTTTCAACCCGCTCATTGATTCCTTCATCGCCGACTTCCGCGTGATCAGTTGACCTTGAAGTATCGAGACATGCGACCGAGTTGTCAATATCGCATGCGAGGTCCTAAGGGGATGTGAAAGTGGCATCCGAAAGCTCAATCGTTCATAAAACTTTTCTTCGAACTGGGTGTCTCAAATCGTTTCATACTTTAAAACGTGAACATGTAGACCCTAAGGTAGGTCCTGCAACTCGCGAAATTTCATTTTTTATAAACCATTTTTAAAATACCTATAAACAAATTTGAAAAGAATTGAAATTTCATGAGTTTCAGGACCTCCCTTATACTCTCCCTATTCACGTTGTAAAGTTTCAAACTATTCGGTAAATCCAGTTGGGAGAAAAGTTTTATAAACAAGACCTCTTCGATGCCACTTTCACATCACCCTAACGAGTGAGCTCGAGAATCGGGAATCCAGGTCGAGGGCAAAAATGGAGCAGGAAGTTCCGCGGGGGCGATTGGCACGCATCGGCGATGAGAAGCGCGGTAAAAAAAAGAAAAGAAAAAAAAAAGATTCATTCAAGATAGCGCGCGGACCGGCAACAGGAGAAAAAGTTCCGGACCGCGTGCGCGCGCGTCGATTGCGCAAGAAAAACTCGGCGGTGGCCGTAAGCGGCCCCCGCGAGGCGCGAGCGCGTCGCGATCGGACATTTCCCCTGTAGCCGGGCGGCCATTGGCGCGCGACGCGCGCAGCGGCCCCGCGATTGGCCGGCTCCAGCGGAAGGCGTCAGGCAGCCCGGCGGCGCTCCCTGCACGTGGTTGCCCCCCTTAAAAGGCCAGACAACCAGGGAGGGCAGAATGAAAGTCGCTGAATCGCGAGGCTCGGGCGTCGCAACGTGGCCGGCGCGGCCTCGTGGCTCCAATCGATTGCTCGATTTTCAGAGCGGCATAAAAGCCGCCTCGCTTCTTATCCCACTTTATCCCCCTTTAAACGGTCTTCCTCAATCGCGTGGATAATTACCGAGAGAGAAAAATTGATTCGAGGAGCGAGCCAACAAGGTTCCTCGACGATAAAATAATCGTAGTGCATGCCGATGAATTTCGGAGTGCCCGACCCGTGCACTCGGGTCGGGCTCTCGAAATGCTCTGACCTCGAAGTGTGTAGCACCTAGTCACGTGACTCCCCCCTCTCCTGGCCACTCAATTGCCCCGCGACGCGCGCCAATCGAATCCGCCGTGATTCCCGCGAAATTATGCGTGTTCATCGACTCGAGAGAGGGAGAGAGAGGAGAGGAGGAGTTCTTGGCGATGACGCGACAACCTCGTAGTTGTAATTTTAGCGTTTCGTTGCGTGTAAACCGCGCGTTACGTCGTATTTCTGGCGCCGACGAGAGCGTCGCGGGACTCATCCGAAAACCTCGCAAACCGGGAGCGCATTAGCATATTTATAAACATCTCTTTCTTCCTTTTTCTCTTTTCTTTCCCCCGGATCTCGCAGATTCGTAATTACTATATCGAGCGCAGTATCCTTGTCGGATCTCCGCCAATAAATGAAGCCTCGGCGTACGGGGAAATCCAATCAGTGCCCGCGGATTAAATTACGTCCCGTGTGTAATAAATTGAAATCCGTCAAAACGGCGGAATATCACATCCGCGTAGGACTCTGCATTTTAAGCCAAGGCCTAATTTAAGTCAGGAGCGGTTGCCAAGTGACGACTCCGCCGGAATTACTTCCAAGAGGATGATCGTACTCTCTCTCTTTTCCCTCTCAAGAGAAGCACCTCGACCGTCGAATTAAGCCTCGCCCTCGTCTTCGGTATCGCGGGGCAAATGGGAGGCAGGGGTCAGCGACTTCTCTATCACGGGGATCGTTATATAATCGGTCGATTCGCGGTCCGCTTCCAGGGCCGATCTCCGTTAACAGCAGATACCTCGCGAGTAGGGCCATAATTACCATCCTAAAGCCACCTCTCTATCCCAAATCCCGAAAATCAATCCCCTTGGAAGAAAAATGCTGCAACTCCTCGCGCGACGTTCCACGTCGCCGGCCGGTTAATCGCCCGTTGTGATTCGCGACAAAAAGTGCGCTTATCGAACGGTTCCGGGAACCTGGGTTTACCTCCTACAAAGACAGGTCCTAAATGACAAGTGGGAGATAACGCGTATCGAGATAGACCCCTGAGACCGATTCAGGTAGACCCGCACCTGCAGGCTGGCGATAGACGCCGCGCCGGGGACTAGCACGTCGCCCTAACCTCAAAACCTCGCCGACTGTTCGCGGCGTCCGAGGGGTCGCCTCGTGGGGATTATGTCACGCATCTCGGGTCTACTCACGTTGTTCGGCGTGCTGGAGTTGGCGATGCTCGAGAGAAAGTCATGGCTGACACGCGAGCTCTGCGAGGTCCCGCTGTCGCTGGACACGCTCGAGCTGTCGTACAGCACGTCGGACACGTCGAGCTTCATGTCGGCGGCGTTCCTCGTCCCGCGGCGAACTTCGGGCGGCGCCCCTCGGCTCCCTGTTCCTTCCGTTAGACCGGCCGCGTGCAGCTCGCGAACCGGCCACCTCGCTTCTGGAAACTCTTGCGTGAAACTGGCCGCGATGACTCACCGCGGGGAATACCTCTCGCGCTCTCTCGCGCTCGCCTCGGCTCGGCCGGCGCCGACTCGCCGAGCCGGTGATGTCATTCGCTATTCCCGGCGGCGCGCCGACCAATCGGAGCGAGGGACGCGCGCCTGCCCAGGGGCGCACTCTCGCGGCGCCCGCCGGGCGCCATGGACGTGGGCAAAGAATTCAGAAGTCCCGTAGAAGCCCAGATCCTATGTTTGCTTGATGCTCTAAAAGTTGGCTAACAAACCAGAAGTGGGGGGAAAAAGAGATCGCATGTGTTAGCCAACGATATCTCACATACGGGAGGAAGAGAGACGCATATAGAAAGGTGAGTATTATGGGTAAGATCAGGTAAGTACAATACGTCAAGTAATATACGTGGTTTTTTACACGTATATTACCCCAAACTATACGTGCAAAGCGCATGCGCAATATCGTCAATAACCAATGCGAGTCCACCTATTTACCTCTAAGAGAGATTCTCATTCGCTATTAAGGGGATTGCGCTTTACGCCTCCACAAATCCGCGCACATTCGAAATCAGTCTTGGGAATTTCAAATGTATGCATATATGTGCATTTGACGTTTGTTTATAACGGCTGATAACGGCTACTTGAAGTCGTAAGATTCGTAATATTTGTATCAAAATGTATGAAGGTGGAAGACCAAAAGGTGAATTACGGGATGAAACAAATGGGCAAGATGGATGTTTATAACCTAGCGGATGCCGCATGCTCTACGTCTTGTCCGCCATATTTGATACGTTTTTTACGGTAACCTACTTGATTCACGCAATATACATAAAAAACTTCGAAACATGAGGAATTACCAACTCCTCGTAATTGGAAGGTGGCGTCGGATAAGGTATCGAAATCTAATTGAATTGTTTCTACTGACGGAGTAGGAGGATGTGAGACTTCGCTCCTCGCCATTGCGATAACACAGTCTGCGGAACTTCCTCCTAGCTCCAGTCGTTTCCGAGTACTTCACTCGTCCGGTGATACTTATTCGTCCGGAGTGAACGACCCGTGATTCACCTGTTCCGGAAGGGATTTCCCAGGTCGCGAATCGCGTTTCACTTGGCGCGGCGCAGGTGGGTGCGCGCGCACTCGCTCGGAAGTCCTCTCCAGTGGCGCCGCCGCGCGTCGGAAACTCGAAGGAGATTCCGGACCGCTTCCGAGAACCGCGGGTGAGTCACGGCGCAGGTCGCGTGGGCGGCGAACGGGGTAGCCGGAACACATCAAACGAGATGCGTGACTCACCGATTCGATATGTCGGATATTCGAGCGTGTTAACCCGCGGAGCACCGTACAATTGCACGTATCCTGTCGCAAATCACTATGCCGCGGATCACTGCGCAGCAGGTGGTTTGGCAAAAACCGCCGCGTCGTGAGTAACACATTCAGAAGATTATTGCGGTTTTTATATTTAAGACTCGACGCTTCAACGTTAACGTGATATAGAATCTTAAATACGGACTTTTCGATGCACCCTGATGAGAATAATTATTTCATTTAGCTTTCTGTTTCATGTAGACGAGTTCATTCAAGATGGAAAAGAAGCACATTTGGGAGATTCCCTTGTACGAGTTCAAAGTGGACCGGAAGGCAGCTGGAGTGGTTCGCAGTATCGACAACGCATTAGTCGTTATTGAAAGGGAAGAAGAAAACAAAAAACAGAGGAAGGTCAAATCTTAATTGCAAAAACAGGAATATCATTTTCTGGACACTCTAATTAAATTTCACTCGTGGGTAATTTAAGCGTTCTTATTTCAATGAATTCCAATGACCCGTTGGCGTGATTGTAATGACAGACGGAGTATAGGAAATGTTTAAATCCGCAGGACCTGCATCCACGATGCCACGGATCGCAGGATCATTCGTGGAAGACGTCGTCGAGGAGGACCGGGTCCCTTTACGGGCATGCCGGCGTGCTTGGGAAACCGAGAGGCTGACATTCACCTGCTTAGTCGGCTGACCACGATCAAATTCGAATAGACAGCCGGCCGACGTCCTTGAGCTAGCTTTTGCCTGCCAAGGACTCGAGTTAACCCCATATAGGAGAGTACATCGGCTGTCGAAGAAAGAAAATGGTAGCGAGGAATGTCATTGCCGCTTCGTAAATCGTCTCGCCACGAGGACCGTACGAGTCTCATGCACGGAAGGCTGCATACAAGTGCGACCACGCCACTTGCAAACGGCGTTATGCGTGTACACCCGTACATACGTTCCTCGCTGCGAAAGGCGCCGATCTCGCGAGTCGGAAAATACGGTCCAGCCTTGAATCGGCGATTCTCGAGGCTGGGAAACCGCGCGTCGTCAGACGGAAGACGTCACTCGGTCTCTGGCGGCATCTCTATCAGCGATTTTCTTTGTTTTCACCGTGATAATGGGCAGCGTAAACACGCATGACATAACGAAACGATCTCTCTACTATTGTACCATAACGTTGAATTTATGCGAGCGAACTCAGGCGCGCGCTTGTTTTTTTTCTTTTTTTTTTTCGCGCCGCATCGAGGCATATCGGCGGCCCGCAATAAATTGCGAAATTAATAACGCGAGTCCTCGCCCGGTTATCTTATCGCCGCTATTTCGGGGCGTGTTGGTTCGACACTTACGTCGTTCGCCGAAAATACGCCAACCGAGCGGAGAGCCTACAAAAGAGAACCCCGCGACTCCGGTCGCCGTTCCGCCGTGATTCGCTCGAATAAATTCAGATTAGACGGGAATTGCCGGCGAACGCCGAGACCGCTTACTTGTCTCGACGATCGCGCACTTTTATGCGTAGTTATCTAGAATTTAAGATTACGTGATGTTAGAGATTTATTGTATCTCATTCGGGGGAACGGTTGTGCGTTATGCGGTATGTCTGCGCGGGTCCGAGGTACGAGCTTCCGGCGTCACCTGAGAATCTCTCGGCTTAGCCCTATTCGTGACGCGAGCGATTTGCGACCATTTGCGTCACCGTTCGCCGCGCTCGCTGAGTTTGCGGAGTTTTTCCAGGACAAAGGAGGAAAGCCCGCTAACCGGCTCGCCTCGCGGAATACGAAGCGAAATCGAGCGCAGTTGGACTATGGCCTGCAGCTGGTTCCCGGGAATGTGCCGCACAAGATGTAACGATATATAGTCCTAATGAGTCAACCCTGTGCGGGTGCACGCACGTGTGTTTCAGCTGAGACGTACGGCTTGCAAAATACCGGAGACAAAGCCGAGATTACGCGCGCCGTCCTGCGACTTTCCGTTTCTGTGCGACGAGATAGGAGATTTCGTCCGGGAGATCCTCGCTTTGCTCAAAACCCGTGATGGAATCGAAAGACACGTATCGTGGAAGTCTAAGGGAAAAGAAAGACTTTGGGATTTTCATTTGGCAAACAAAAGTCAGTATCAAGAGCCATTGTCACGATGCGTAATCTTCCCTCACCAGAGAACGGGTAGGGTCATCCTTGTCGTAGAGTGAAGTATTTTGCGAATCTAGTGGGACAAATCCATGAAAATCATAATTATAGGACGCACTTCTTATTTCTTAAGTTTCGCTCTCATACATCATTTTGTTAAGCGAGATGCGTTAAACTGTGCTTTTGGTTTCACATCCTAAGTTCTCTTTCGTTTCTCCGTTACCAAGGAAAGAGAGTTGCGTATCACGTTAAGCGTTTGCCATGTATGGCTTGCATCCGGTTAGAGGGGAAGAAAAAAAAATGTCGCAGCCCGGAGAACAAAGATTTCAGGCGTTCATTGAAATTCAAAATCCAAGTCGAATAAAGGAGCCCGGGCGCGGCCTACGACGCACTCGTAGATTTCGGGACGTATGGCTCCCTTTGTGCTTTTCCTTTATTCCGTCTGCCCACCGCAGACGGTGGTCAAAGATAAGGAAACAACGACGACACCCTCATTCTCCGACGGTTTCTTTGTGCGGCTCGCGTGCGCCTCTAATCCTACGAGCCATTGTATGCAAACCACGAGTAATTTAATCATTTCATATTCTCAGGACGCGCTCCAAAACTTGACGCTGTCCGACAGGGCTCGAATGGAACTGGATTTGAATTAGGCATTTGGATAGAATTCAGCAGAGCTTGGGACATCTTTTGTTTCAACCCAGAGGAAGATCATGAAAAAGAAAGGGTTATTGAAATTGTTCATCTATATCGTTGGACACTTGTGGATGTAACTTAAGAGCGCTTCCATTTTGTACCGTGTAAATAAGAACGAAAGTTAGATCAATTAAGATTTTCTATTGTTTCTTTGTTATAAAAGCTGATGCAAGCAGTGAGTAAGGTCGGAGACATGTTGCAAATGTTTTAGCTTCGTGCCAAGCACTGGCTCGTACAGCGAGACACGGAATCTTAAACAATTGGCGATAAGGAACGCTGCAGCTCATTTAATGTTACGATTTTAAGTTTTCTTTCTTTTTTTTTTTTTCGTCTGGGTTTGTCGTTCCTATGCGATTATATGAGCCGCAGTTTGTGTTGTTTTAGATATATGATACGATGGAATTTTTGTTGCATAAGTTTCTTTTATTTTAAAGGTACAAAACACACGGCCTCTGTTATTGATTCTATCGGGGTTGTCATATATAATACTGTTTAATCTAAACTTTCTCACTGGTATCACATTTCTATAACTTAAGGCACAAGTAGTATTGTTATTACAAGCTCTTAAGACGCTGACATGTCTCTTACTTTATTGTTGAAACATTCTTCCAAATTGAGAAAAAAAAAACTAATAAAACACTTTTGTGAATAATTAACGTAAAATAAAACCAGTATTTATGACAAAGGCTTTCGTGCAGAATCTCTTTCATACGTAAAAAAAAATATTTGTCATGTCATCGATGTGTAGAATAAAAGTTGAACTGAAATGATTTTTAATAACGGTGTAGATTAAAGTCGTATGTCATGTATAAGTTGTAAGCTCGGAAGTATCAATTAAATATAGAAAGTCTTCGTGGAGCACTTTAAATTAACGTTAAAAATAGCATTAGCTGTAAAATGTTTGCTGCAAACATTTGTCTTAATAACCATAAAAGTATAACAATATAGGATATATTATAAACTGGGTAATCCAGGTCTCTCTTTACAAAAAAGTATTGGCTTTAAACTTAAAAATAACATAAGTGTAATGATTATCACAAAAATGTAGACTTTCAATCTTTTTGTTCAGTTAGCAAATCAGATCGTTCAACTACTAAGTCATGGTTATCGATTTGCTCAAAAGTTTCATTGATGGACTGAGCCCACTGTATTAACGTTTCCTCATTTGTTACATCTTCGTCTTCTGGCTGCGAATAGGTAAGCTTCCTCCTTTTTGGTACAGGTCCCTCTTCCTCTCCTTTATTATCATCATTATCATCATGCGGAATATCTTCATCTACTTTGCCTTCGTCTTCTTCTTCATTATGTTCTCTTAAGAAACTGAGATTAACTGCCCTCTTTCGTTTGTAGCAACTTATTGGTGGCTAAGAAAGTAAGTATAAATAACTAACAATTATTCATAAATGGTAGTGTTAAAGATAAATATAGCAGGACAATTTCTTACCTTTAAAAAGTGTGTGGGTTCCAAGTCAGGAAACAAAGGAGTTTCTAATAGTAAGTTTTCCTCTGATTTCTGCTCTTCTTTAGATAAGATGTCAAAGGTGTTGGAAAACGTGTTGGATTCCAATATATTTGGTACAGTGACTTTATTAACTTTTTCAATAACTTTATTGTCCTTAGTTTCATTGTGTATTGTTGAAGACTTTGGAGATCCAGCTATTGTTTGATTTATAGAGGGTGACTGTAAAGATAATGCGTTTTTGATGAAGGCACGACGGTCATTTGTATGTGTTAGATTTATATTTTTCTCCTGAAGTACTTTTTTAGACAATGTTTTTTGTTTCTGTGTTTTTACTATTGGAGAAAAATCGATATTCAAGTCATATTCGAATCCGAAAGCTTCTTCTACTCCTGGTTCTTTTCGAGTCTTCTGTTTGAATTTACTTCTCGCTGGGGTAGAGTGCAGATCCATGAAAATCCCATGTTCCGTTTTGATGTTGGTAACCTCTGGTAGTTCAGCTATATTTAGAAAATTATTTAAGTTTGTTTGCTTCAAGATTCTCGAATCGGTTAATACCATGGCTGTTGTATTTTCTTTATCAGTAGAGTTAGAATTTTGGGAACAGGATGTATCCATGAGAGCAAAATGTTCTCTTTGTAATCTAGGAGTACTACACTTTGGATTTACATTTTCTTTGTCACAATCGTTTTCAATCAGATCATGCACATGAGTTACTGAATTATTGGAGTTGACTTCGCCACTGTTATTAGCAGAAATTGAACATTTCTGTATACTAGAAATTTCGTTCTTCGATACCAAGGGTGAACCATTAACCGATTCATTTTTCTTACAATTTTGTTTGTCTAGCACTTTTGGTGAATTTGCATTTTCATCATTTATCTCGTTACTTAACTTTCTTTCACATGTCGGCAGATCGTTGTCTGTTGAGCCAGACGTAGATTTATTATGGGGAGGCAAACAGGTTTTTATTATCGTTCTTTGGAGAATGGAAAAAGAAAGAGGAGAGAATGCGATGCAAGGTGGGTATCTCCATGGTTTTGATGCATCGAAAGATGATAAAATACTATTATTTAAAAGCGTTACTCTATCAGGGGCTGTGTAACCACTGGTGGAAACACTTTGCGCCCTGGAATGATGCTCTGCCTTTGCATCATATACTGGAGGTAATTGTGTTCTATGTTCATCTTTTCTCAGTTTTTTTATAGGAACAGCTTTCCGTTTTGGTGTAGTCGTTTGCCGTAAAGCAATGTCTGCCTGACATCGGATGTCACTCACAGCTGAGGAAGTAGAATCTACATTAGGAACTTTTGTACTTTTTACTTTCAGAATTTTTACATTTGTGGCAGCTTTTCGTGCACTTAGAAATTTCTTTATCGCTACACTCATTCTAGGCGCTCTTCTTTTTTTAAATTTCTTCTCCTCTGGGAAATCATATACCAAACTTCTATCGGCTACATTCTCCTCGGGCAGTTTAGCGCCTTTGTAAATCGGTGTCTTTTTGACATTTGATATCTCTACTTTATCAGCTGTAATACTGTCGCTTAATTCAGTTTTTGAAGCTGTCTTTGTAGCAGCCTTCTTTTTACGTTGACTATCCAATGTCTGCTTAGCAAACGAGTCCTCTAACTTTGCCTGTCGTAAACCATTCTTTAGCCTATTTTCTTCTGAATCAGTTTCGACACTTTCCTTTATATTCTTCCGCACCTCCTTCTTTTTCGTTTTACCTGGCAGGTTTTCCGTGTTTGCAGTAGTAATTTTCCTTTTCTTTAATGGTACATTTTCCGATGACTTTTTTGTTATTTCTATAGTTGGCAGGTTTTCAGTATTTACTTCAGTATTTTTCCTTTTATTCAGTAGTACGTTTTCTGGTGATTTACTCTTCATTCCATTGCTTCCCTTGAGCGATGACCCTTTCTTCGATGTCTCTTTTCCTGTCTTTTTCGAAGCACTAGTCTTCTCATTGTCATTTTTTCTTTTATTTCTCAAATGCCTAATTTGAGGTTTTGAGTCCTTAGGAGATGCATTAAGGGTCGCATTAACACTTTTTTTAGCTGTTTTACGAATAACTTTGGTTACTGTCTGTTTCTCTGTTACCTTTTCGACAGCTACACGTTTTCGAGTTTTTGACATGACTTATGTTTTACGCAGATTCATAGAAAGCAGAGTCAAATTGTCTACACGTTAATTACTTCATCTACATCTTGCTTTAACACTTGTCAGCACGTTGCATACAATTCGCAAAACTTATGCGTTTACCGCGTTTTTCGAGAGAGCCACAAACAAAGCTACGTGCACGTTTATACTTGTCGATTGGATACAATTGGATAGATAACCCGACCTAGAGATGAGTTGGGAGATTGCTCACGGGCAGGATCGTGTGATCGATCCTGTGCTGCCCTCTGGTTTCGTACGTTAGCTTTCACCGTTTTTTGCCCCCAAGGGCGGCGCAACGAATTTCTGATAGAAGCTCGCGCACTCTCGATGGCGGTACCATCTACCAGTCGCCATTGGCGGCTCACGTACTCGTGATGGTAATACCATGATGCGGCAGTTGACGGTGGTGGCTTACCTACGCTTACCGATACTGCTCGCTTTTGATGGTACGGGAAGAACACTCGTGACGTTCCATTTGACTTTATCTACTAATCTACTACTATTAAGTACATTGTTGCCTCGAAGTCGACGTGACCGCGTTGAAAAACGCTCGGTAACGCTCAAAAACGGTCTTAAAACGCTCGAAACCGCTCTGAAAATGATTGAGAAACGCTCGAAAACGTTCAAAAACGGTCGAAAAACGCTCGATAACGCTTGAAAACGCTCGAAATCGCTCTGAAAATTATCGAGAAACGCTCGAAAAGCGCTCGATAACGGTCGATAACGCTCGAAAACGTTCGAAGACGTTCAAAAACGCTCTAGAAACGCTTGATAACGCTAGTAGGAGAATGTAAAAATCATACGCGAAATGACTCGGCTTATATCCGCAGTTAGGTAAGCCTCGGGAGGATTTTTCGCAGTATTCGACTCTCACGCATACTCGTCGAGTGTAGCGCCGAACGCACACATACTCAACGTCTCGACCCGTAGCTTGGCGCTTGGCTGGTTGGGACGCGCGAAAATTTCTAGGAGCTATCGCATTCACACAGATTCGCTGCACGAGAGTTCCGTACGCGACACCGACGCGTGCCCCAAAGCTCCGCATCACGTCGACTTCGAGGCAACAATGTACTTAATAGTAGTAGATAAGTAGATAAAGTCAAATGGAGCGTCACAAGTGTTCTTCCCGTACCATCAAAAGCGAGCAGTATCGGTAAGCGTAGGTAAGCCACCACCGTCAACTGCCGCATCATGGTATTACCATCACGAGTACGTGAGCCGCCAATGGCGACTGGTAGATGGTACCGCCATCGAGAGTGCGCGAGCTTCTATCAGAAATTCGTTGCGCCGACCTTGGGGGCAAAAAACGGTGAAAGCTAACGTACGAAACCAGAGGGCAGCACAGGATGCGATCGTGTGGGATTGTCAAATATATTTTACCACTTTATTTATAGTTATTGCTTTATTATCACAGAAAAAGGAGCGGATTTCCACGTGCGCTCTAGAATTGGTCACAAAACCTTCTTCTTGATTTTCAATCGTTTCTAAAACATTTTACGACGTAGTCGTCTTTTGGTTCGAGGTAAGTAAAGTAATGTGCACGCGAGGTAACGCAGTTTGCCCCGTCCTGAACGCATCGCGCTCGACGCGCGCCACGCCTCTGGTGGTCGATGGCCGGACTTCTTCCCGGGCCCGCCACAATCGCACGATCCTGCCCGTAAGCAATCTCCCAACTCATCTCTGGTTGACGCTCTTCCTCGCGCCATCTCATAGCTATGAATAAAAGTAATTGACGCATGAAATGAAACCCTGATTCAGTTGTATCATCCTATGATAACCAACGAAGGTAACAGAAGATCGCATACCTTCCCTCGTGATCCAATTAAGAGGTTTCGCAACTCAGGAAATGCGAGTTATTAATTTATTTCTTTATAAACGAGATAGCTATGTAAGTACGCGTGCATATTAATGGCTATACTGGAATTCGGCGGTTACAAATATTTCCCCAAATTTCGATCCGGTCCGTCAGGCCCCAAGCAGACTAGACATATGCATCATGATTAGAAAAAAAGAGAACGAGACTTACTCGGTACTTTTTCTAGACGTACCTATTGGAATAACTCGTTATACCCTTTGTATTACTAGCATTATTTGAGATTATAATCGCGATCATAATCCGTGGAGAAATTCCACGCGGGGCGAAACTTAACGGAGTACAAGCTTAGTCAGAAGATCACATATAATAGGAATCGGCAATTATAAATCCCCAGCGAGAATTAATTCATTAATCACTAAGAAGTTCGATATCGAATTAAGGGACTCCGAAGTGATATCTAAAAGAAATTCATGTCATGTATCCTAATGATTAGCTTTGAGGTTACTTTCTTTTTCCGCCATAACCTTGTTTGTATTTCTCATATTTCGGTCATATGTTCAACCACGTGATCGGTCATGTGATGGATCACGTGATCAACCACGTGGTCGACCACGTGGTCTCCCGTATCTGTCAAATACTCCAGCTGTTCGAATGAATACACGAGAGGCACATCTCGTATATGACGTATAATTTAACAAGAGTATAGCGTAAATATTAAGAGGCTAGACAATAGACTTCGCTGGGAAGGGATTTGACAACAAACATGTTAACAAATTTTCAGGGAGGAGTACACGAGGTCGATTCTTCGAAGGAGACGATCTAGCGCTTGGGCTTGGGAGGGGCTCGAGGATTTGGCTTGTTGTGGAGCATGTGTTGGCATTTCGGAATGTGACGTTCAGCTGCACCCTGGTTGAATTTCCTGCCACAATGTGGACATTGTATGTAGTCGCTGGTGTCGCTGGCAGGAGGTGGAGGCAGATCGCTGAGCTTTCCACCTGCTGCCAAGTGGGCCTGCACCTGCTTGGCCGACCTGATGGCGTTGATGAAATCCTCGTGTTTCCGCCGCCAATTGGACTTCGGGTCCGATTTTTTTGATTTCGGCTGAAGGTATGAGTGTACAAGTTAAGCTCCCCACGAACTAGTGACACTAAAGTTCCTTTTTTCATTCAGGACGAGAGAACACCCACCTCTGGCTTCTTCAGGGTACTCTTCTTCACGAACGGCTCCAGCTCGGTTCCTTTCACGCGGAACATCATCGCGTCGAATTGCTTCCTCTTCTTCTGGCCAGTTTTCGAGCAGATCTGCTCGTGGAGTCCTACTCTGTCCTGTGCAAAACGTCGACCGCAGACCTTGCATGGCACCAGGGTGTCGCTGGAACGAGCAGGTGCACTTTCAATTCCAAAATGTCACTGGGTGAAAGAATTTCTGTCTAATTTCTCATTTACGCCTGGTTAGCTTACTTGCTGACCGCTCCTGGACCACTCCTGCCTGTTGGAGGTCCTCTGGATCCAGCTGCAGCTGCCGGATGTCTCGCTTTTGTGGCCATTCTTCCCTTTGCTCCAACTGAACCTGGGCTTCGGGATGAACCGGTACTCGAGGAGTTGGAGAGCGACGAGAGAGGTCGAGGAGTCGTCGTCGGCGGAGACGCTTGTTTCTGCAACGTAGCGCTCTTCTGAAAGACATTCTCTCGTTGTAGAGCTTCCACGTCGATCGAGCTTTTCCCGGCCGAGAAGGACAAGGGAGAAACGAGACCTCGAAGAATAGGGCGAACCATCGGGCCTACCTACGAACGAGGAGCTCCTCGACTTTTCGATCGTTTAAGCGATTTCGAGTCGAAGCGATTTCCGGAAATCAGCAGCCTGGGTCGGTCCATGAAAGAGCGTTTCGAGCCCATCGATTTGGTGGGTTTCACGAGGTTGTCACCATTTTGTTTATCGCCGCGACGTTAGAGAGAAGCCCGGTCGTACTCCTTCTCTTTTTTTTTCCTTTTTCCTTCACGGCAGACTCCGATCGTTTCGGAATTTTAGATATAAATCCGAGCTCGGGGCTCGGGCGGAACCATTCTCGTGACCATTCACCGTTCCGCGTTTTCCGCCTTAATGGCCCGTGGAATCGAAAAATGCTCGAAATAAAGGCTATTCGGTCCATCGCTCGGTTGCGAAAGAGGGGGGCGAAATGCGACGAAAATTTCGAGACCTCGGTACCTTTTACACATTTAATGGAGCCATTAAATCTGACATTAGCTTCTCTTCGAGGGGTTCCGTGTGATCTACGGTATGGCGACCGCCACCGCGAATTTCTCGGATAACGAGTTGCAGTCGGCTAGGTCACGTCGCGAACAAAGAGATCGCCTCCGAGAGCAAAAATGGAAAAAATAATTAAGTGTTTCAGTTCATTTTTTCTCCTGGAAAGCGGTTCCCTTTGCCATGCGGCCCTGTGACATACCGTAATTTCCAGCCGTGCGATTCGCGACCACAAGCTCCAATTACGAGCGAGTAATTGGCTTCCTTAAATGGGTAAAAAGCACTGCTTCTGTCTCGGCCTTTGATATTCTCCAGCCGAGAGCGAACTCGGCCATATCCATTTTCCTTTCGCACAATTTCCCGCGAATGCTTAAGTGCTCCTTGACGTCCTTTATCCGAAGGACGGAGTCCCGATTGGACGATCTGTCCGCACCTTTAGAAAAGTTCGTCGCACCCGGAAGCTAGTTTCTCCCTTCCTCTCCTCTGACACAAGAGTCTTAAAAATATCCCAAACAATACTCATTTAAATCTTAATTAAATTCAACTTCCCCCCTTTCCTTAATTATCGCCCTCTTATTTCTATTCTCTTTTTCTTTCAGGATCAGCGATTTACCTCTTGACTCCTCTTCTTGGGAGCCGGCTTCTTAGGAGCTTCGTTCTCCCTCGACTTTTTTTCAAGATCGTCGAATTCTACCACGAAGGCGTCGCCCCTCTTCCTGGAGTTCGAGTCGTCCTCTTCACGTTGGACCTGAGAATTCGACCTTTCCGGTATGCAGGAGTCATTTTGAAGATCCGGACCATCGACGACGTCTGTCGATTTCGATGTCTCCAAGGCTGGCCTTCTGTTTTCCCGATTTCGAGGGATATTTGGCGGCGACCTCCTGCTCGTTGTCGGCTCGTTCCTGAGGTCCATGGAAGCACGCTGCACCGCGGTTAGGGAATTACGTTAATGAACATAAATCGAGCGATATTATACCGATTATTATTATTCTTATTAGTATTATTATTACGTTAACTCACGTTGTTGGCATCTGGACTCTTCGGGGGCGAGGTCGGGGTGCTCCTCCTCGTGGATGTCGAATTTTTCATCTCCTTCCTCGCTGCCGGATCGGGACTTGGACTTTTGTTCAGCCTAAGAAGGGGCGCGGTGCGTTTACTAAAAGTTCGATACCTCACATCGACCTCCGGATGTTCTCGACGAGGTTTATCGACGTCGAAAGATCGCGTGCCTCCCGAAATATCCTCCGTTTCCGTCTGTTTGCGTTTCGCGGTGATCCTTGCCCTCTGCAAGGACTTCCCCCCTGCGATTAAGGACGACACAGGAGGCTCCGAGCTTTCCGACCTCGCTTTTCTTGTCCCGACGATCCTGGAAGCCGGATTTCCCAATTGTCTGATCTTAGGAATCTCGATCGATTTCCGAATGACCTCGATGGACCGCAAAGGCGTGACGGGTCTTGCAAGCTTCGTCTTTGATTCCACGAGGTCGGAGGTTATTTCAGAAACGTTTTCCGGTAGGACAGCTTTTCGCTCTGGGAAGTCTAGGCTGGTCTCTAAGGATCTCCTGGCAGATTTTTGGGGGGAAAGGTCAATCGTTCTGGGACTTGCAAGCTCGACTTCCGGGCTAGATTCTGTATCCTCGAAGAGCTTGCGCTTGCAGGCTGGTGATGGTGTCCTGGACGACGAGTGAATCGGCTCTATCGAGTCTCGAGCTTTCAGCACCCCCCTTTTCTCCGGCCTGAACGTCGATTTCCTGACCTCGAAAGCTTCCAGACTGTGGAGGTCGATTTTATTTCGACTTCGCTCCCTGCTGGACGCCCCTTTCAGGGATGAAAAAAGGACGCTTGGGCTTTTCTCCGCCGCTTGCAAAGCCTCGATCGCTGCTGCTCGTTCGCGCACTGAGGCTGTCTGACAATTTTCGAAATATCCCGACCGACTTTCGTCGACATCTCGCGTCTCTATTTTAAGAAATTCCGTAATTTTTTCAGACCTCCTTTGAATTTTTGCGAATTCTGGAGAGAATTCAGAAATTTCGTGCTCTGGAGACTCCCGGTGATCCGTGTCGCCTCCGATCGAATCGAAACGTCGCAAAGCCGATTCTACGGAGTCAGTTCTGCTATAATGATCCTTGCACTCGGATGACCTCGTTTCTTGAGGTCTGGAAATCGGAGAGAGTCTCTCTGCTGTCGTTTTTGAATGTGTCATTTTCGACGTGGTGGTCGACGTTCGGCTTTCAGAAATTTTCATCGGTTTTGAGGGAGTCGATTTTTTCGCTTTTCGAGGGGCCCTTTTTTCAGACCTACCGAGGTCAGGTCTCTTTTGTCTCTCTAGGATCGATCCCTCGGCTCGACCTAGTTTCGGTTTTTCCACCCGAGAAACGGATTTTTTATGTCTTATCTCCTTGCTTTTATCTTGGATGATTTTCTGCTTCTCGGGGATCTCCATCTTCCCGGAACCTCGACCTCGGTCGGACTTTTTTTCGAGAATGTCAGCCCCCTCGTGTTCCGATTTCGAAAATTTAGCCGCCGAGTCTTGTGGCGAGATCAATGGAGCAATTTTTTTCATGGAAGAATCCGTCCTGGAAATTTGCGAGAGGTCGATTTTTTCCAAATTTATCGCGCGATCGGGAACGTCCTCGTCCTTGCGTGTCGTTGATCCAAGGATTTGGTCTTGGCGAACCTTCATCATTTTACGGACCAAATCCGTCGATTTCAGACATTCTCGGTCGGTCTCCTTTGTCTTGAGGTTCGCACTTTTTGAGGTCTCTTCATCTTTGGAAACTCGATCGCCTCCAGGACTTGAGAGAGCTTTTTTATCCGGAGAATGCGTCCTATCGACTCGATCTCGCGACTTCAAAATCGAGCTTTCGGTCTGACGAAAGAGTCGACTCGTCCATGAGCTTTCGGAACTTTTCCGACCATCCTTCTCGCAGGTATTTCGGTCCGGCGAGTTTCTCTCCAAAGTCGAGCTTCCGCTCGGGATTCGATCTCCGGCTAATTTTTCCGAACTTCCTTCTTCGACGATCCTCTCAGACTTCCGTAATTTTTCCTCGTTACCCGGCGAAATATCCATGGGCAGATTGGTTCTTTTCCGAGCTTTCGGAAAATTCCGAGCGAAGTTTTTCGGGTTTCCCGACCTGGAGGAACTCTCTGGCTCCTTGCTGTGATCTATGAGCACGATTTCCGATCGATCCGTATCAGTTTCCACGGAAAGGGGACTTTCCGACCTGGAATTTCTTAAAGCCAAACCTTCAAGACCATCGCCGGATGTTTTCAAAAATTGACTTTTCTTAATTGGCGATTTTTTTACCGGCGATACGGACCTTGAGGATTTACTGCCTTTCAATAATCTCGAAGGATCTTTGACTTTTGAAGCTCCTACAGGTTCTACGGATTTTATTTCGATTTCCTTGTTCACGAATTCCGCGGTCCTTTTTGAAGCCTCGCGCACGCGCCGTGAGTCGTCAACCACGATTGAATCTTGGATTTTCGAAATGTCTCCTATTGTCTTCTCGGAAGGTTTCCTCGGCGTTGCCGGAGACCTCGATTTTCTTGGCTCAGCGACTCTTTTATCAACAGGAACTCTTTGACTCTTATACGATTTTACTTCGCGTCTAGTTTTATCTTCACCGGCCTTGGCTACGTTTTCCATTTTAATTTCATGCTTTGCCTCTTCGGGGCCCGATCGATCCGACCTGGCGATTTCGATTCGGCGTTCGATCTCGACGTTCGAGTTCTCCCTCGACCCTTTGCGGATTCGCTTAAGAGCGACTTCCTCCTCCGAGTACCCTTTCTCGGCGACCTGCACGATTTCGAAATCACTTTTCGAATTTTTAACAGTTCCAAGGTAAGCCTCCAGCTTCGGAAATTTTTCCTCAGACTCCGTGGCATCCCTTTTCCCTTTCCGGATCGGCTTCGTTCGACATCCTGTGGACTTTTCTTCAGATTTGAGACCCCTTCCCTGCGACTCCTGCAGCGTCCTCGTCCTCGAGGAGCGAACTCTGGAGAATCAAGCCGACGGTCATCGACAAAAATCCTAATCCCGACTTCTAAACGTTCAATTGTCCACTTACTAAAGCCCGGTTAGATCCAACCTCCAGAAAGCTGGTTAAAGTTTCCCCACCGATCCCACGAGCCTCGATTTACCAAGAGGGGTCTTCGACATGGTTCTCCATTTTTTCCTCCCTCTGCTGCAGCTTCCTTCCTCGTTATCTCCTCGTTACTGATCATCGAGGACCTCGATCGGTTAATCACCAGGTTAGAGACACAGAATGTGGAAAAGATTCGGGCCTACCAGAGCGGCGAGTCATTAGGGCGGTTGCATTAATAATTAGGAGCCTTTTAGCGTCGTCCAGTGATACATCTTTCTGCATTATTTTTTTATTTACTTTCTATAGAGCGCAACGAAAGGCAAAGCCGAAATCCTTTTCGTCCCTCGCAACTTCCTCTCTTCCTTTCCCTTTGCTCCCTCTCTCTCCCTTCGATTCGCCCCCGAATCACCCTTTCCGAGGAGTTGCGATTTTTTTGCACTCGATGCACTTTGAAATGTTAGAACAACCTCTCGAGAATTTCCGGAGGAATTGCGAGCGGAGAACGATTGCAATGATTAGCTGCTTGGGGAGCCACTGGCGAAGTTTTAGGTTGTCCGAAATTACGATTTTTTTTACATACGACTTGCCTTTAAAAAAAAATTGCTTTTCCTCTCTGTCCATGTTACATACCGTTTTAAACCTCATACTTCGCTCCAGATTTGTAGAACAATTTTATAACAAAGAGCTTCAAATATTAATATGTACAAATAGGAAAAACAATTTAATCTGAGAACAAAGCGTAAAATCTTGAACAACGAGAATCGCAATGACTTTCTGGACCATCTAGTTGTTAAAAAAAAATTATTGAAACTTTTTAGACTAGCTTCGCGAGTGGCTCGACTTTTGTATTAATCACGGAGAGTCTCACCTCGAAGTCGACCCCGAAGAGTCGGCAGGCTTCCTCGAGGTGGAGGTCGTCCTGTTCGCGATGGTCCTCCTGGAATTGGCGTTCTTGAATCTCTCCAATCTCGCCTCGGCTTGAGACAACTTCTTCCCGATGGTCCTCTTCGGCTTGTCCGGAAAGTCCAGCATGGGGTCCTCCGGGAACTGCTCGTTCTCCAAATTATTGCCAACGCGGTGTTTCAGGGTTCTGTCGAACCCCATGAGGTGGATCTTCGCCATCATCCTGTTCCTCTCAATGGTGTCGTCGTCGATTACCTCCTCGACCTGCACCTAAAAAATGTCCCCCTAAGCAACCTTGATTTTCCCCATTTCTACAAATTTTCAAGAATCTTCACCTCGCTGCGAATCGAGTTGCGATGACCATTGATGAGCCCATCATCATGGTTTTCGTCGCCAAACTCGGTCCCATCGTCGAAGGACGTGGTCATCTCTTCGTGGTAAGACACCACAGGCTTCCCTCCATTGACGTTACTGTTAACATCAGCCCTAACCAATTTTTTTACAGTCACCGAGTGCCGATTGACGAGCGGATTGGTCCTGGAGGATGTTACCCCATTGTCTATGGGGTGCTTCCTCGACTTGTCAAGCGGCTCCAAGGGGTAGCTTCTGTCGATCCCTTTCACGGTGGTCTGTCGCCTCTCGTCGAACATTTGCCGAACCTTGAAGGTAATTCTTCAGTTAATACGTATTTTCCCTTATAATAGCCTTTCTCGTTTATGACTTCTCCCTTTACTTACTTTTCCTCCCTGCGAGGTCGAGGTCGAGTGGGAGGTCGTGGTTCTGGTGATGGTTTGGTGGCTCACCATGGAGCCGTTGCTGGATCCGGTGGAACCGGCGCTGCCTCGCTGGGCGACCTGGTGAGCCCTTAGCTGTTGCTGGTCGTAGAGCTGCAGCAATTTCTGCTCCTTCTCCTGGAGTTGCTTCTGCTGGAAGCGAGCCTGACGTGGCAACGGATCGTAACGTTAACGTAGCACACCACCGGTAATAACGGTAATGGGATTCTCGCATATATTATACTTTTCTCGCGAGAGAAGGATAAGGTTTACGAGGGCCCCACTGCAACACCTTCGATGCACCGACATTCTAAAATGCACTTACGTCCGCCTACGAGCAGGAAGATGCATCTCCGTCGCCGGGGTCGACGGGGTGCAATATTTCGAACGTTGGATTTTCCTAATCTTTTCCTTTTTCTTTTCCTCTCCACACAGTGGTTGATGAATTTTTTTATACACTCGTGGTGCTAAGCGAAGCTGTACTTCAATTAGATTAATTAACCCTCGGATTAGAGAATTATCGGGATAGATTCCCCCGTTAAAGTTATGCCCATGACATTCTCGCGGGTGCAATATTTCTTAGATTTCTCCATTTTCTTCTTTTCTCTTTTTACTCAGTGGCTGATGCATTTTCTTACGCGCTGGTTATAGGTAACACAGGTGCATCCTATTTCGACTGACCATAGAGCGTCTGGGAAGCTAAGCGAGATTTTCTGCTGCAATTTGATTAACTTTTAGCCGGATTAGGGTACTTCTTAAGCTAGATTCTCCTGTTAAAATTATGTCGACGGTATTTCAGTGGGTGATCTACGTCGGCCGGATTGTAGCACCTTTGGTGCACCGGTACTCCATAATGCATAGTACGTGCATCGCTGCAGTCGGCCGCGACGGGGTGCATACGTGCACAGGTAGTGGCCCAACCTGACCCAACGTGTAACCCACAGACATAGGTGCAACTTCATCGATTTCGCTAACCTACATTAGCGCGAGAGGTTGGTAAACTCCTTTCCAAGATAAACCCGGCATTTTAAATGCTCCCACCGAACTAACTGGCCGACCTTCCGAGCGCGGGGCAATTTTTTCTTCCCCTCGTCTCCCCCCGTTTTCTTTTTCCCCTTTCGGCCACTTTGCCAGGGATTTTTATCGGGGGCATCTATTGGCGGAAATAAATGCGCGATTCGCCGCACTTCCGGACCTCCGAGTGGCCCTGGGATTGCCGGATTAATTAATCAACCATTATATTTTCCTTTTTCAGGGACCGTTCGAGTCGCCCCGTGAATTCGGGAAAAGTGGACCGATCTCGAAAAAGCTGCCTTGAAGAGGACGGCGCAGAAAGCCGGAGAAAAAGCGAGGGAACGAACAACTCTTTCTCTTTCTCCCCGCTTCTCTTCAAGCGAGAATCAAGAGGATTGGGGATCGGGGATCGAGAGTCGAGAATGGAGAAACGAGATACGAGAGCCAATCCGCAAGAGAGGTCTTCCTATACATGGTCATGTGTGTCAGAGCCGTCGAGGCAGGAACGACTACGTGCTCCGGAGATGTAAATGGAAAGGACCATGGACCGGACCAACCATCTGGTAAGCCGTTTCGAGATCTCGTGCCTGGAGGCACTTTTCAGCGATCTCCTCCAACTGGAAGATAAATACGACTCTGCATGGTGGCCTTCGAGCATCGTCGCATGGTGCCCCATCAGACGCCCAAACTCGAGGGGCTATTCACTCGGAAATTAGCGAAAACGATTTTCTTCTGTGGAAATCCATTGCCTTTGATTACCACATGATTAAGAGCAACGTGATTCGGTAACAATGTCACGAACGGACTTAATTTCGAGCATTAAGCGGGTGACTTGTTTATGAAGCTTCTCTGAGAACTGGGTGTACCGAATCTTTCCAAGCTTTGCGACGAGAATATGAAGGACACATAGAAGGTCCTAATACCCATGAGATGAATTTTTTATGAACAATTTTTAAGTAGAAAAATTATTAAAAAAAAATGAAATTTCATGGGCGTCAGGATCTTCCTTACAGCCCCCGTGATTACGTTTTAGATTTGAAACGATTCGATACATCCAGTTCGGGGAAAAGTTTCACAAATGAGATCTCTTTGACGTCACTTTCGCATCACCTTAAAATTGATGATTTTCTAAATGAATTTTATTTAGAATTACATTTTTTTTTTATTTTAATGTAAGATTCCAAAAAATCAGCGAAGCGGGTGCGTCGGGAACCCCGGTAGGTGCATCTTGGTAATTAACGTCCCTTTCTTGGGGAATAATTAGGGATGAATTCTAGGACTCGGGAGAGACGCGTAGAAATATGGAACACGAGTGGTATCAACGCTAGGCGAGAAGTTCCGGCCGAGCCGTGAAAAAGTACGGCCACTTAACATTTCGCTCCCGCAGTTGAAATCCGCACTTAATTGCGCGTTATCGCGGAAACTTTTCGGAAGTTTCCCTACGAAATCCCGCGCCCATTCCCCGTAATTGCGATACTTGGGGACGAGTCAACTCCGTCCCCCGACCTCGGGATGTCCCGGGGATGCTGGAACGAAGGTATGAATTTAAATTTCCGCAGATCTTTGCGTAGATCCGGATAGAAGGCTTTCAAATTGGGGAATTAATTAATGTACCATGGTTTTCAGGTTGGCAGTCCCAAAGGTGGGACTCTGCGCAGCCCAAGATGGCGCCTTGTCCAAGGAAACTCCTCGAGCCCCCAGGGATTGCGACCTGATCTGCGCCCCACCTTGGTCCTGTCTTCGTTTGCTGATCTTCATGTCTTCCTTGGGAGTGTCCGCCGCTTTTTCACGTGCGCCACGTGTCCCCGTAGATTTTATCACAGTCAGTCATAGACAAAGTAGGTTCCATCGATCCCGAAGGAAATTGCCCCACGATCGAAGGGGTCAGACGCGCGTGACGTCGACGGCTCTTTTTTTAGAATACTTAGATTAATATAGGTTTACGATCGCCTTACAGTATTTTGCGTATCAACCCGAGGTATCGGTAACGGAGACGCGCATTTCGCGAGCTTGCGTCACCTGCCGGTGCATATATTTGTATAAAAGTGCACGCATGTGAAACTGCTACACGTGGCCGCGGCATTCGTCCCACTTCGGCGGCTCAGACGTCGCGGTTTCCCGATCGTTTCTCCTGGCCTCCGAGCACCGTCATTATTTATTTTTTTTCCCCTTTTTATATTTTTAACCGCGTGAAAAACGTCCGCTTGGTTTATCAAATGAACTCGCTGCTTTCCAGAACGGGTCCGCGATTTGCGGCCGGCGTTTTATCGTTATCATTCACCTGGCGACCGGTCGCAATCGTCCCGCTGGTTCGCCGACAAATTGCAGACATTGCACCGACACGCGACGAGGATTTTTCGTTAATCCAGCGAAGCGTTGTGCGACCTCGACCGCGCGGAATTAAAACGCACACCTTGGTCGGCAAGTCCGGAAGTTTATAGAGTCCGGGCAATTTAAATTAGATGTAGATACTCCGGGAGAAAAAGATGTCTTGACGTGTCCTGGCGGCTCGCGGAAAACGTGCTGCCCCGACTTCGCGGTTATCCGTCGGTTTTTCCCCGCTTCTTTCCCGGGAAAAGGCAAAAAGCACGACGGCTAGCAGGAGGGTTGCTATCACAACTGAATCGCCACAAGTCGCAAGGCGGTTAGGCTGTTCCTTGCGCATGCGCAACCGGAGCTCTCTTCGAATTGTTAAACGCGAGGCGGCTTTCAATTACGTTAGGTGCGTCCCCGAACTGTATTTTCCCCGGGATGTCGTGACACGTTTTACCGCGATAATCTACGAAGCAAGGTCGCTGGTTTGGATAATTGATCGAAAGGGAAGAATCGCCTAATGGGACCGACCGTCCTTTCGTCGCAATGAGTACGTCACGTGGAGCAAAATCGAACCGATGGTTTCCGTGAACGGTCTCGACTACGTAAACCTGGCCGAGGAAAATGACAAAAGCTCGAAAGGTCAGAGCTTCGATCGAGGTTCCTCGAAGTTCGGGCGACCATGTCGAATCGAGCTTCCGAAGTTCCGCGAGTCGAGCGCTTCTGTTTAACTACTTCCACCTGAGAGGCGCGTCAATGGTTCCGCGTAATTTTCATAAAGTTTACCGATTGACGGAAACTCTTCGCAGCCTTGGAATAAGAGAAGTTCCCGACGGACTGTCTTCCCACCTGGACTTAAAAAGAAACCGGAGTTCCCAAGCGGAGGTACCCCTGGAAGAAGGACCGGCGCGACAGAGGGGCGCATCGAATAATTCTAAGCCGATCGCAACTTCGCCGGTATTTTGTACGAGAAGGGTTCGCATCCCAAGAAAGTGTTTCTTGTAAAAGTTTCGCGTAACGCCATCGGGAATAACTTTTTCCCCGGACGTTTCGTCGTCCGGTCCAACGTTGACCGGGAATATTGCATTTACCCCGAAAGTGTAGTTACGGTTTTCTGCCTCGCCGGGGGACGCGAGGACGGCCTCGGTGTGCCTAGTTTCCGCTGCGTTTTTCCTCCCGGAAAATTTCCCCGGAGTATTAGCAAAAAATTCCGGGGAATAATTTCGGCCAGTCGGGCCAATTCCAAGAGCCTGTCCTTTTTCGCTCGACTCGGCCTCGTGGAGGGCGCGCTTTTTCGACGGACTGTGCTTTATTTTCGTACCGGCGACCGCGTTCGGCGCAGAACCGAGATCGAGGTTCGAGGTTCAAGGCGAGTCGATGCTGCCGACGATTTATTTCCCCGTCTACGAGGGGTCGAGAACCTCTGGGAGTCTTTCGAGACGTCGATCGATCTCGACTCTCGGTCCCTCGCACCAGGCTTTCCTCATTTTTCCCCTCCCCTTGTACATCCCGCAGTCTAGCCGACAAAATGGCCCTATGTATAATAACGAGCCATCGTCGGGGAAGAAGTTTCGTTAAGCGCGATTTCTTAATCAAACTCTCAATCCTCCGTCTCGAAGGTGATCGCTCGTTTTAGGGACGTTGCCGAGGTCTTCTCAAAGGAAATCCCGCCCACTAGATGCTCATGTAATTCGACCTTGTCTCAGGTACAGCTGAAACCACGGAGACCGGGTCTACAATGCAAATTGCATAATCGTGACGGTACACGTCATGATTTATTATTTATGCGCCGCGCCCGCGTTAATGGCGCGACGTCTCCGTGTTTTCCTCTCGGACGAGATGGCCCTTTTTTTTCCTCCACGGAGTTATATCACGTCCGCTTGTCTGGTTCTAAATTAGCGTCCTTGGGTCTCTAGATTGATTCGGAAGTGCTCGAAGATTCCTTTCCGTCGAGGTGTGGGTAATAAGAGTGGAGCGCCTCGATAGTCCGTTTCCGCCGCGGAGGATTAATGGTCGCGGCTTCGAAGTAGGGCCCACCGAGACCAACGGGGATTCCTTATAAATAATTGATCGGAAGGTTGCGGTAATGGCTCGATTTGTAATTGTAATTTTAGAACGTAGTCGCATGCCCAGTTAAGCAAGGTAATTGCTATATTTGGTCGCAGTGCACATGCGAGTGCGCGTGTTGCACGTATAGCCAGCCGGTCTCCGATTTAGAGCTTTTGGAAGGAGCAAGGACTGCCTTCAAGGATGGTTCCGAAAGGGTTGGGAAAGTGGTTTAAATTTTCTAAAAATTCCTTCCTTCCAGGTAAACGATTGCAGATCGAGATTCGTCAATGATTCAAGGATGGTTCCGAAAGGGTTTAGAAAATGGTTTAAATTTTCCAAAAATTCCTTCCTTCCAGGTAAACGATTGCAGATCGAGATTCGTCAATAATAATTCCCCGAAGGTTTCTTTCTTCGGCGGGGGATGAAACGAGGATATCGATTTTTTATCATGCCTCGAAGAATCGAGAAAGTGATCCAAATTCTCAAAAAATTCCTTCCTTCCAGGTCCACCATTGCAGATCGAGATTCGTCGATGATTCAACGGAGGTTTCCCCGGGTGGGGAAATGAAACGAGGATATCGCCTAGTTATGGAGCCTCGAGGAGAAGGACCGAGGATCCTGCACCGAGAGGGGGAAGAAAATGCGTGGGCGAGATTCGCCCACGTGAAAACGCGTGTTCGAACATGGGATTTAGACAACGGTGGACAGCCTTAAGGTCCCCTTGACGCCCACGGAAATCGCTTACTGACTCACGGCCCTAGTTTCGCGCCGAGTGAACCGATCGAGCACCGATCACCGGCATTGATCCCGCCATCGACATCGAAGACCCTTATCAACGAGAACGACCAGCTAGAAGATTGCCCTTTTGGAACCTCCGACGCATAGTGCTTATTAACACTTTAAATGCGGCGGCGTGGAAAAAATGATGCCGCCTGAATAAAAAGTGAAACGCACTTAATTTCAAATTTAACGCGTCAAGGCGGTATTCATTCTGTGTTACTTTCTACTCGGCATAATTCTTTTCATATGGGACTTCCGATGCTATGTCGATTTCTAGAGACTGACGCCGTGCAAATGGAACCTATGTCGTTTCCAAGGTATCGACGTCGCGTTTAACGTATCAAAGTGATACAAAAATCCATCTGAGGGGTTTCGTTTATGAAACGTTTCAGAATTTTACCACGGGAATGTGCAGGCGATAAGGAAAGTCCTGACACTCGTGGGATTAATTTTGTTTCTTACATTTTTCGCACGTATTTTGAAATTTTTGTATGAAAAAAAGATGAGATTTTATGGGAGTAGGGACCTTCCTTCGGACTTCCATGTTCACGAGGTGAAATTTCAAACGATTCCGTACAGAGCTTCCAGTTCGGAATAATGTTTCATGAACGATTGACTCCTCAGATTCCACTTTCGTATCACCTTAATACACGTGGTTAGATGGTAAGGCGACGAATCTAGACTCCGACTTCTTGTTCTTGGCGCGACACTCTATCGACGTCATGCCCGGAGAGAAGAGAAATATCTCCTTGGATTCCCACGCGTATAAGTTTCTGCAAAATCCCGAGCTCGGCTTGGCGTGTACCCATCGATCGTCCAGGAAATCGAGCTGGTATCGATCGGACCAATCGTTCCGTCTCGTGACGCCCATTAGTGTCAGATGTGAGAAAGACGTCCAATCGCGGGGGATCGGTATTATTCCACGTTGGTACAATGGCCGGATCGAGTGTGGCGTCCACGCCAGGGAGGAGCAAGATCGTCTCCAGAGACGGAGGAAGTGACGTCACAGCATTATGGTTGCGATCCCGGTGTAAGGTTGCGGTTGACAAGCCAAGCGTCTCCCTCGACGTCTACTTCAATTCCATACCATTTCACTCTCTCTCTCTCCCTTTGTCTCTTTCCGTCTCCGCCTCTCCGCGTCCGGGTCTTGCGGTCCTCCCGCACCTTTTTTCTCCCCTTCCTTCCTCCCTCTACGCGGTGGATCTCTTTGTTGGACCAGAGAATTAAGTCGGACGCCTTTCGACCACCGACTCGAGTTCACCCGATAATATTGGCTCTCTGATGTTTGCAGGGAAAACACATTCGACGCTGCGTCGAGAGACGGTGTTCGACACCTAGGGGGATCCCTACGGATGCATTCCCGAGCTGCACTCCCAGGGGATTAAGCGCTCTTTCGCGAACCTCAACTCTCGGAAATCACTCTCGAGAAGGTCGAGGACCCTCCTCCACCGAGGGCGAGACTTACCCCGGACTCCAGTTTCCTGGCCAATTTGACGAATTTCAAAAAATTTCAGAGGCTCTCCAAATACTCAGATGCGCAAGTAGACCATTGGATTGGTTCATGATTAACTTAATTAATTAATTTCTTGGGGCTGGTTCTGGGCGAGAAAAGTATGGATAATTGTGAATCGACCAATATTAGCCAAGGACCTTTGGAGTAAGTGCCTCATCAGGGGCCCTATTTTTAGTGCCCACCTGGTGACACGGCTGGACTAGCTTCTCTCATTAATGACCAGGTGTGATAATTACGAATCTACCCAATATTGGCCAAGAATACTCCCGGACATACGTAGGAGGAATTTTGGCGTTGGTGCCTCGAGTTCCCCATTTCTAGTGCCCACCTGATGAAACGATGCTGGACCAACTTCTCTCTCCAGTTGGAGCTGCTCGCGTCATCCCGACGAAAATGGTAAAAAAGGATCACTCTGAGTCACTCACCTGCAGCATCTCGAGTCTCGACGACGCCTGTGGCGCAGCCATCTTCTACCGAGGTCACGAATGATCTCGATCTAGCTGTCCTCTCTGTAATCAAAAGGGAAAAGTCATCGATACGAGTTATCACCGTGGAGTCTAAACGGTGGTTGCATATGGCCGAGCGAGTGGTTATTCCTGCCAATTGTTCTTTTCCCCGGCAGTTACATGTACGATGCACCTCGTTAACGTCCAATTATTGCGGTTGGTGGGCGATTTGGCGAGGTTCATCGGGGAAAAAATCCACGGGGTATTTAATGTGGCCGGTAATTGTCGGCGCCGAGAGCGTTTCGGTGGTTCGACGCGACTTCTTTTTCTACCTTTTCCCATGTTTTTCTATTTTTCTTTTTTCCTCCCCACGATCCACAGGAGAGGAAAGAGCCTCGCATAGGTGCGGCTCTCCTGTCGTGCTTCCGAGCTTTTAATGACGTCATTATCTAAATTAAACCCGGTTCGCACGAGGGTAAGGGCAGGATACTCGTCGCCAGTGCTAGACTGCCGGCCATTCGCTTCGGGTCACGGTCTGCTGCATTCAGACATGCAAATGCACATTAGCGCAGATCCTGGACGCGAAGGATCCCCTCAGAGGGATGGACGGATATCGGGACACCCTGTTCGACGGATGTTTCAGCCCTCGATCGCCTTCCTCGGTTTTATCAGCTATAAAGGTTACTTTTACCTCTTCGAGGAGCTGATTTCAATTACCGGTAAACTCGCGATGTCCTCCAGTCGGGGCGGACTGTAAACCGGACGGCTTTTGCAGCCTCTTTCATCGAGTTACACTTTTCTCCGAACGGTTTAAATGTTGCGTTTTATTTATTTCTCCTCGGTACTCGAGAGCCGTAAACCTGGATCAAGAGTGCGCCCATAAACTCCGCGGCTTGTCACTTCGAGAGCCCACGCTTTTTCCCGCTCCTATGACATAATGACCGAGTTTATTTATCCGCGTGCGGAGTAATTACATGAAAATCGACGATTTAAGGACAGAAGAGGGCGGAGATAAACTCGGCTGGCGAGGCCACAGAAAATATATTTCGTTTAATCGATACAATTTTTCTTCCTTCGATCATGGAATGTGATTACTACACTCAGGAGGAAATATTCCCTTGGCCTGAGAAAACTCATTGGTTAATGATTTTTGGTCGATTACATTAAATATCGAGGGATGTGATCAATAATATTTTCTAAAATTAAAAAGACGGTTTAATTAACCCTTCGGTCATCGAAGGAAATTAAGTAGATTGAACCGTGCAATGTATCGATTGCTTTTCGTATCGAGAACCCCCTGATTTTTATTTCCCGTTTGTTCCGTTGTTTTTTTTGTGCAACTTTTAATTCAAATTCTCCTCTCGTATCGCAGTTTCTCCGCTTCTGTGCGGTTCAAGGACCCGAGAGTCCATGTGGCTTAAACTACTAGCAAGTACGCGACGATTACCAACTCGCGGACGCAAAAAATCCCCGGCGTGGGTGGAACGACTCTTTTTACACCGGTCGATTTGCTTCGTTGATGACCTCACGGCTCTTTTGCGTGGCCAGTTTCTTACTTAACCGGCCAACAATGAGTGTATTACCTGCCGGGCATAAATCTCCCATCGCCATTATTTACTCGTCATCTCCGGGCAAACATGGCCGGACTGTCGCAACTGTTAAGAGAGATAATAAAAAGGACGAGATGTATCCATTAACTCGCGGCAAAAAATGTATCTTCATTGCAGACAGAAAAATACTTCGTTAAATCAATATAGTCTTTGTTGGTTCAACCATACACCGAGAAAAAAAAATGAAATACTCATTGAACCAAAGAAACGTACCTTTAATTCAAAGAATAATTATTTGACCGAAATAAGTCGTTACAATCCCGAAGAAACGTTGCATCCAGTTTATTCGATTTCATTTGACTGCAATAATTATTCTTCGAATTAACAAAATATTTCTTTGGTATTGTTTAAAGAAATATTTTATTGACGTCAGGAAATTCTTTGCTTCGGAGCCTCGGTTGAAATTCAGTTACCCCAGATATTAATTTGGTATTAATAAAAAATATTTCGTGCCTCGGTTCAATCAATCGAAACATTTTATGAAATGAATCAAAGGAAGACGATCAAACGATTTTGTTGAAGGAACCAGCATTTTTTTCTTTGCATGTGGACTTACGTCGAGTGGTTCGATCCGAGATGGCTTCGGAGGAGGATCGAGTTCCGGATCATGGATCTAGGGTCATGGATCACGATATTTTCGACTTGCAAACGAGTCCAGTTAGATTCGAGAACCGCGAGCTAGATAAATCGGCCTGGTCGTCCTTTAAGACTCGCAAGACTAATGGCCGATTCCCAGCGAAATTCACCGAGTGACTCATGCTCTCGGTGACGTTAGAAGGACCTTAATGCTCAACGAACTTCTTTTACGGTAAATGGTCGAGAAGAGCGAGGAGACATTCCTCAGGATTGGCCCTGAGATCCACGTTCCAGATTCCGTGTCCAGAAAAAGTCTGTAGATTTTCCCATTGACATCTTCGATCTTTCATAGTTTTTTTTTTTCCCTTTAGAAAAAGTTAAACGAACAGTGGTTTCCGGATATGTTGGTTAAGGAGTTGCACTGTAATTAGTGTGCGAATATCCTTGCGACGTTTATCATTTCATTTAGAATAAATCCGAGAATTAAAGGAAGAGGAATGGAATTTCTATCGATGGAATTGTGTTATAATATGGTACACGTATTTTTTCCCCCTTTTTTTAAACCCAAAATGGCGCCTTTTCAGAGAACTTGTCGAGGAGGTGTCGATTGTTTTTAGACCTGAAAACCATTAATTAAATTTATAAAAGAAAATCCGATTTATGAAACTTATATCGCGGTGTAATCTCTAAACAGATAAACGACGTTCTCTAGTACGTCCAACATGGCGTAATCGGGAAATTCGCCCGTGCGGAGAAAAACCTCCCGGATGTCATACCACGGTATTCCGCTGAATTTAATTAGTGTCTCGCTCGATGAGAGTTATTAACGCATCCATTCATGAATCTAATTAATGAGCGTTACCGTTAATGGACGAAACGGGGGGTCAGTCGTTGCGTTCGTTGCGATAAAATTAATTTCCGAAGAGGTGCTTTCGGAAAACATCCCCCTGCCTGCTCTCGAATTTCCCGGGGAGGAAAATTTTCTTGAAATAATGCTCGAACATGCCGTCTTTAAAGTAATACGTTAAATCAGCATTTTTTCCCGATTCCCAATTAAAACTCCCATCTACGGCGCAATTTCCCTCGATCCTGAATTCCGACATAATGTGCAGTGGGAAAACGCACCTCGAGTAATTATTTCCACTATAACGAGATTTATCGACTCGGCTAATTATCCAGGAATGCAAGAATTCATTGCGCATTAAATATCACTTTTAGAGCGAGAACTCCCCTCCGGGGAATTTGTCGTCCGCGTGTCACGTGATCGAGGGGGTATTGTCAATTTGACAGTTCTCTGACCACGTGGTCCACACGTGGAGGATGCGCCGAGCGTCAAAAAACGAGTAAAAAGAGGCGCATCCGCTAAGTGACGCCCTCGGTGCCTTTGCGACCCGATTGAATAATTGCCAATCGGCGAATCGAGTCGGCAATTGATCAGCCGCTTAATTGGATCATCCAAGAAAAGTCGACGTTAATATTTCACCGACTCTCGGGAGACATTTACTCGCGGCGACGCAGTCGGCTGCCGGCGATGCAGCATCTTTATGCTTTAATGCATCCATTGTTCTCGAGTGGCGATGCATTTACGTCACTGCATCTTGAGAACACGGTGCACGCCGTACACACCGACGAGGGGTTCTTGACACTCGTATCTCTCATCTTAATTCGCATAACCAGACACTGAGCAGACTCGTCTCGGCTCTGCAAGGAGTCGCGATTAACGCAGTCGCTTTGCGGCCATTAGCTCGCAAACAATTAGGATATATTAAATAAAATTGGGAAAATTTTGGGAAAATCTTGCGATTAATTGTGTGACAATTAAACCGAGAAATTGAGCTTAGAGGACAGTTTGGTGACAGTCTTCGTGGCAAGATCGAGTTCCTAAGGGAAATCAGCTCCAATCTTCCTCCGAATTCTCAATTTACGAGGCGAAGGAAAATGGCGGCGAACTGACCTTGACTCCGGAAGATCCTGAAGAAGACGAAGGAGATCAAAGGGCGTCCTCTCGACCAGAGGACCGAGGTAGCACTGACAGTTCAAGTTTCCCTCACTCCTCTCCTTCTTCGCTCTTTCTCCCTCTCTCCATCCTCGACATGCTGCCGATCACGGAGGAGAAGTGGAGGCGCCATGGAGAGAACGACTCGGCACCGAGACGTGTCGGATGGACGACAGCGACTCGCCTGCTAATAGGTACATGTCCGCAATTACCGAGAGAATTACCGCTCCACCTCTATTCGGTAAAAGGAGAAAAAAGGAGAATTACTGGAGCACTTCCTGGGGAATCTGCGAGAAGGCGCATCTCGGCTGCCTACGTGGCTGGCGGAAAAGTGGAAGAAGCCGAGGCGAAGGGACTCCCTTCAAAGGGGAGATTCGAGCGTGGCCAACGCGACGCCGCGGGATAAATAATGCATGAGGGTGAAAAACATTCAATAGAAATATCCGCGGAAGAGAAATCGAGGGAACGTCGGCCGATTTGGGAGGATCGGCCCGCGAAGAGTCCCGACATCCGGTGCGTTGATGGATTTTCGAAGGGGATATCGGCGCCTCGTTGCGCACGCATTTTTGCTTCTTTCCCCGACTAAATCCTGGCCTAAATCCGTGGCATGCCTCTTTTCCCTCTCTCGGGTGTATGCGTGGCCTGCGTGCAAACGCGATTTGCATAGCCATCTCTAAATACGGCTCTGAGACGTGAAACCGTCTATTATTATGAGCCGCGTGATTCACGCGTCTCTCGGTTCCTTCTAAAGGCCGCTGCGAAATCCGGAGGTCGGCCTGGACCCGTCATCCTTGATTATTTCCTCCCCAGGAATAAAAACCCATCCTATTTCTCGATGAATTTTTAGGAACCTCCGATGGCTTCTTCAAATTTCCTAGCACCACGGAAAAAGAAGAATGGCCAGGAAAATTACAATAGTAACAACCGTGACCATGTTGCAAGGTGGTACATAGGATAACCATGTGGCAATCAACGTATGTAATCCGGTATAAAGAAAATCCGGAAGTCGGCCTGGATCCTCCATCCTGGATTACTTCCTCCCCAGGAAAAAAATTAATTCCACTTCTCTATGATTTTTTACGAACCTTCGATATTTCCTTCAATTTCCCTGGCAGCACGGAAAAATAAGAATGGCCAGGAAACAATCGTGACCGTGTTGCAAGGTGGTATATAGGATAACCATGGCAGGATGTGGCAACCAACGTATATAACACGGTATTAATATAATTAATAAAAAATTAATTCCACTTCTCTATGATTTTTTACGAATGTTCGATGTTTCCTTTAATTTCCCTGGCAGCACGGAAAAATAAGAATGGCCAGGAAAATTACAATTGGAACAATCGTGACCGTGTTGCAAGGTGGTATATAGGATAACCATGGTAGAATGTGGCAACCAACGTATATAACACGGTATAAGGAACAAACTAGGGTTACTTCACTATTCATTCAAGGTACCTAGTTCATCATAACTTCTTTACACAGTTAGTACCGTCACTTGAAGTAGCAATCACTATTGCGACTTTTCAGCCCAGCGCCATATTTATCATTCGACGTGGTTCTCCGGTTTCTCAGATTTTTCTAATTGTGTGGTTTAAATCATCAATGTAGATAATACGTAGCTGTGCTACCTGTACCTAAATTAATTTTCGTGATCGGACTGAAGGGCTGTATTGTTCACAGGGACGCATTTTTTATACCCCCTTTAGACCGAGCACCGATCCATCGAGTCGTCGCCATTACTTGTCGTCCCGTCGAGTTACGAAGTTACGACTCTCGCAGTAAATGTTGGGAGCATTCTCATGCTCTAACGATCGGTAGCGGCCCTCGAATGTCACGTAATCGATGTACCTCGCGTTACACGTTACAGGGTTACTGTCGACAGGGTGGAAATTCGCGAATAACGACGCCATCGTTCCTGTCGGGCCCGGGGGTGTGAATTTGACAGGAGGTGAGTCCAGGCCCTCGAATAACTCGTGATAAACCTCCCCCCAAAATACTGCAACAATTAAGCGGATTTTTTAAGGGTTCTTTCCTTCCTGCAAATTTTCAACCCTTACGTCATTAACTCTCCTAGAAAAGTTGCGTTGGATCCTAGCAGTACCGTACCTTGAAACTTTAATTGAGGTTTGGGGGCGGTGAGAGTCAATATTTCTGCAGTTTCGATCGAGTCGCAATTATTTAACGAGTTGTTAAGCCCCTCTAAGTGCAGCTAGTAAATAGGAAAAAGGAGCGATAAGCCTCTCGCATGGCCTTCGTGGTCTCGTTTAATTCCACCGGAAGTGGGGGATCAGGGAGACGTTAAAAAGCACCGACTTGGGAGATGAAATTGCACCGCCGGGAAGGGAAAGTGCAGGGGTGCACCTGTTCACGGTGCATCGAACTCGCAGGCGCAGATGCACGTCCGTGGTGCAGAAAATGTTTGCGGCTCACCGGATGCTTTGAGATTGGTACGTGGCTCACGTGTGCATACGCGTGGCGCACGCCTTGGTGCACACGCTTCGGTACACGCACTTAGACGCGCATCTTGGTGCACTCTGCACCGCGGAGCGCAATTTCCCGCTAGTCGACTAACCTCCATTTTCTCTGGGATGCGCTTTAACGCGCACTTGAATTTGACGTGCCCGACAAAGAAAAAAAGAAACCAGAGATAAAACGGAGAAATGAGTAAAAGAGATGCAAGTGCTCACGAAATCGCGACGCTACGGTCGCACGGAGCGATACCTGCGAATCTCTCGGGCGAGGAATTTCAACCGAGCATGTATACGAGTAAAAAGCAAATAAAAATCCTTTTCGAAAAAATCCGCGGAATGCGGGGCGGTACTTCCCCGCATTCCGGGATTTTAGAATTTTTCGAACCCTTCCCGCCTATCCGGAAAATTCCCGACGAGGTTATTTCCATACATGTGTGTCGATTTTCCTCGTCTGTCGGAGAATCTACAGCTTTCTCCCTCGCTTCTCCTCGCCGTTAAATAGCGCTCCCGCAATTAGTTAGAAAGTCGGAGAGAGTGTATTTCCAATTGTAATCCCTCCTTAGCGTATTCCGATGCAACTAGCCGACCGAAAATATTCCGCCGAGCTCGGCGGTGACGTACAATGCCTCGGGAGATATTATCATAATGCGCTTTTCAATTCCTGGACTATGGGAAATTCGACGTCCCCCCTATCCGCGTCGACTTCCACGTCGTCCGGCGATACGATAACTAAACTATCTCGGGCCCTTTTTTTTGCAGTTGGAAAAAGTGACCCCCCGCGAGTCTTAGGTACGACTTCGCGTACCGAGTCGGGCCGGGGGAGAAAAATGGAAAGCCTCGTCCGTGTTGAACAAGCCGAGGAAAGTTCGTCACGAGTGGAGTTTTCAGTTTCCCTGCTAAGAGGATGGGCTTCGTTTCCGGCCCCTCGCCCCCCCCTCGGGGCCTTCCGTAACAAGACTGCTCCGATTATTATCGTTCCCAGAGAGAAAGGGGACGAAATCCTCTCAGGCTCCGAGGTCTGGAGGATCGTTGTCATAGTTAGGGAGCATTTTTGCCCCCACGACGAAAGGGGAGTTCGCAAAATCGTTCGAAAAACTCCCCGGCGCTCGTTCGCGCAAAGTGGAACCCTCCCATCCACCCCCGAAATCGCTCGGAACGCGAGCCCTCATTTTTCATTTCTTTTCTTTTATTTTTTTTATTTTTTTAAACGAAGTCGTTCATATATACGTATAAGAGGACCTGCAATGTACAGTGACGTTATCGGGGAAACTTGCATAATTCGGGTTATCACGGATTCGTTCATCTCGGCGGGATAAATAATCAAGAGCGAATCTTCGCGGAAGGGCCTGGAAATGTGTACCCAGTGAAAAAGGAGAATTCACCGGGGCCGGAATTTCATCGGTGCAATTCTTCCCTTGAGATTTCCCCGCGCCGCTTTTCCGCGGAATTTCACCTGCGCGAATGGGAGCCGCCCCCCCCGGCGAGGAGATCCATTCTCTCCTCTCGACCTCCTGATTATCTTTATTACGAACGTCCACCGGAACCAGGGTCGTTTCCATTCAAATCTCGACGCCGGGTGCAGTTTTCCTTTTCCGGCCGATCTCCCTTTGCAATTATGCCCCGGTGATTGTGGCAATTAACCCGGCGATTCCGGGGCGCCCGATTGCGAAGCGCGTCCTCGCGCGAAAGATCGGATCGCGAAAATATCGCCATTCCTGGGAGGCAAGGGAGGAGGGGGATCGTTAAATCGGAAAGCTCGTTTTCGCCGGGAAGAGAAATGAAAAAGCGAGGGAAACTCGGAGATGACCTCCGAAGGCGCTTCTCTAGATGCCGATTTTGTTTTCTTTTTTTTTTTTTTTTTGGGGGGGGNTTTTTTTTTTTTTTTTTTTTTTTTTTGGGGGGGGGGGTGAATATCCCGATGATTTTCCTGTAAGATGAAAATTCCGCAATTCCAGCGAATTTATATCTTTCATAACTATTATTGAGCATGTGGATCTACTCGAAGATTCTTGATTACTTCTCGCATTACTGAGGTAATACGTTCGTTTCGGTTGGATTTAATTTCGCAGAGAATTTTTTATCTTCACGCTGCGTCTGCTTACGGCAAGTGTAGGTTTCTGCGACTGGGAGGTTATCGGCTCGTAGTGCGCGGTTTCGCTACCAAGTTCGGCCGGGCGTTCGCAGATGGCGCTGGCGCGGCTACCGGGCGGCCGGACGCGCGCTCTTTCCACTGTCCGTCGACCCACTAAACTTTTACTACTGGCTGACCATAATTCACTCGCACTACTGGCGCCCGTAAACCCAGAAGCGATCGCCGCGGCTGCCAGTGTGTGTTAATTAACTGACATTAGTGATGTTAATGCCGTCAGTAGGTGTTTCACGAGCCCGAGATGTGCCTTTGAGTCCCGATAGTATCAACCTTGCCGAACAAGCAAAACGTCGAGTTTCGAATTTCCAAGTTACGCGAGAAATCGTCGCGGTAAAAGGGAGGATTTAAAAAATACAGAGCACGCGATTTCGCGTCTCTAAATAATTTACAGGAA